TAGATATTGAAGAGATATGAAAGTTTATGTAATATGGAATGTAACCAAAAATTTATAATTGTGATCTTTTTATTCCTTTAAATATTTGAATTTAAAATTTTAAAAATACATTTAGGCGGGATTTTTCGAAAATTTTTAAAAAATATTACCAGGTTTAGTAACTCTAAAAATTTTAGGCGGGAATTTAGTTACTATTTCAAGTAAATACCAAACCTTTTTATATTAACTTTGTTTCGAAACATTTATTAAGTATTGTAATTTTGTCTCGAAAACAGGTTTCGACCAATGCACACTAATATGGTCGATCGGAAAACTGACGTGGCACCAGAATTTTGACGTGGCAATCAATATTTTATACTCGATAATTCAACACACAGAATCTGGATTAATTACACAAAGAATCCATATCAGCATATCATATGAAGTGATAAAAAGGGAGACCAAGAAAAATGTATAAAATTAACCCATTCTCCATTTAGGGTTTTGTTGCTCAAAGATTTTAGGGATCGTGATTGGAGTCGAAATGAATTCTTAAAGCATAGGATCAATCGATTTTGGGGTGAAGAATCAAGAGCGGCGGCAGATTTTTGGGGTGAACTGCCAAGAAGAAATCGCCACAGGCCCGCGCAATGGAGTTTTCTATTCTTTTTTCTTATTAATCGGGCTATCAGTTTGGGGTATATCAGTTTAAGAGACATTGACGTGGCATCCCTACGTGTAAGGGGCGTGACATGGAGTCTTACGTGTAAAATGACGTGTCATCAAGTACAAAATATTAATTGCCACGTCAAAATTCTAGTGTCACGTCAGTTTTCCGATCGGCCATGTCAGTGTGCATTGGTCGGAATCTGCTTTCGAGACAAAATTTGATATTTTTTTGCAAAGTTGAAAAAGTTGAGTTTTAATTGCAATTAAACAAAAGGTTGAGATTTTTTTATGCAATTAACCCTAAATTTTAAACTAGAGTCGTAATTTTGTAAATTGTAAACTGCATTTAATTACTGAAATGCATGAATTTATTTTTCATTATTTTGTTAAGTAAAACATGCCTACTTCAAAATTGAGTTGGAGATCGAATCGCCAATTTGAGCATGTGATCTCGTAACATTAGGCGAATTTTTGCATCAAGCTTCGCCAATCAGTCTCTGATAACCTGCAAAATGTCGAAAGGTAGTGTACAGAAAAAATTCCGATGCTTTAAATATATATATATATATATATATA